AATCTTTCTTAAAGAAGCAATTTAGATTAGGAAAAAGAGAAAAAGCAAATAGTATGTTTTAAATACCCTGTATCAGAAGAAATTACTTAAAACTTACAAAAGCCAAGCATTTAAAAAAAAAAAAAAATAGCCAGGCGTGCTGGCTCATGCCTGTAATCCCAGCACTTTGGGAGGCCGAGGCAGGTGGAGCACGAGGTCAAGAGATCAAGACCATCCTGGCGAACATGGTGAAACCCCGTCTCTACTAAAAATACAAAAATTAGCTGGGTGTGGTGGTGTGCACCTGTAGTCCCAGCTACTCGGGAGGCTGAGGCAGGAGAATTGCTTGAACCCGGGAGGTGGAGGTTGCAGTAAGCCGAGATGGTGCCACTGCACTCAAGCCTGGTGCCTGGCGACAGAACGAGACTGTCTCAAAAAAAACAAAACAAAAAACAAAAAACAAACAAACAAAAAAAAACTCACCTACAGGAGAGCCAGATGAGTTCTTCCAGCTCTGCCTTAAATTGTAATGAACCACTTAAAAAAAATAAAAATAGAAGAGAGAAAAAAGAAAGCTTCCAGGAATATTGATCTAATGTCTAATTCTGTAGTGAACATAAATACTGTTTGAATAGCAGTAGATGATTCTGAAATTAAGATCCATTTACAATTTTAGAAATAATTATATGATAACACATAGCTGTCAGGATTTATAAAACATCTTGTTATTGAGTTGCCGTAACATCATAGAAGAATGCTGTAGCCTTGATAGATTGGCTAGACTCTTTAGGATGAAGGGAGAATAAAGCTTACCGTAATTATATGAGTTATTTCCTGAGTTAATTCCTCAAAAGGATATACTACACTCAATGGCAGTCTTTTTACCAGGCTTCATCCAGAGTAATTTATTTGAAAACCACTCACAGGGATAGGGCTGTGGGGCACCATTTTAATAACTGGATGCATAATTTGTGCCACCACATATATATATCATTTCATCGAGCACATGATTATGAAGCCAACTTTGACGGGACAGAATTTTGCTGCAAGAGGAGAAGTGGATAAAGGCATGGAGTTAATCTACTTAGGCTTTCAGCACACTGGCTCTGCTTTATTGACATTTTACCCACACTAATAACGTTGGCATGCGTCTGATTTCTTCCCTGTTGGCACAGCACAGACATTCACACCAGGCATGAAACTTTTTAGGTGATGAAAGAAGATCCCACAATTAGAATCTCCTTAGCAGGTGTCCATGGTTTGACACTCGATTGTCTTAAGCAAGTATGTTCTTTGCAATGCAAAGCAAACCTACAAGCTATATTACCTTATGTTATATGCAGAGATGCAGTTTCTTTAATGTTACTCGGTAGAAAATAGGAAGTAGGTGAAGTATTGAATCCAAGTTAAAATACACAACTATGTGTTCTTATAAAGGACAGAATGAAACTAGAAATGTGAAGCCCAGTTAATCGATACAACCACCACCGTGCCTGGTTTTTTCCCCCCGTCAACTCTTTCAACAAAGTGTGATGATCGTGTTTGGCTGCATTTTCATTCCTCTCCTCAACTTTTATATTCACATGAAATTAATGAACATTCCAACTCTGAATAATGTGAAGAGACCAGGGGGTGGAAAACTGCTTAGCCGCATGGACGAAGCCCATTTGTGTTTGGGCTTTGAAACAGTTATTTGAATTCCGATTTGTGGCTCTTTCTTCTTGGCACTCAGTTTATATTTAATTGTTGTTCCCCATGTGATTTGAAAGTGATTGGTAGCAATGGAATGACTTTCAAAGGTGGACAGGGAAGAAACATAGGGTCTGCTAATCCAGCCGTCAAATCATTGACCCATGAGTGATTAGAAGTTGGCTGAGGTTGTGGAAACAAGACTGCCCCTCATGTGATGGCAGCTTCAAGTCTCCTTTGTAGTTTTTGGATGTGAGGCAGTGAGCCAAATGTTCTATCTAAACTGTTTGGGAACTGCTTTTAAGTTCGGCACTCTTGGAGAGGTATGATGTGACAAGTTATTGCTTCAGTGCCTCAGATGGCACCATGGCCCCCATGAATTAGAGCTTAAGCCGGAGCTGTGGGGCTAAAGGGAGGAAGTGGTTCTAAACTGCTTTTCTGCCTCTAGCCATTTCTGTGTCAACATATTCCCTATACAACATCTCTCTGTTAGAAAGGGCAGTTTGACAAACCCCCTCTTGCCCTATTGCTGTTGCCTTTCTGCCCGACATACACGTTGTGAGTTTTCAGTGAAGGACTCAATGGATGCAGGTTAAGTATACAATGACACAGCCATTTCTTCTTGTCCAAGTCCAGTCTTAAGCCATAAATTTATGAAATGAGTCTATTGCGGTTGCTCAGTGGATTGTAGGATCTCCATAAAGTGCACCATCCTTACTCTATTGAGGTCCCATTCCAGTAGGAAACTATTCATGTAAAAAGTTACCATCTTCATCCTTGTCATTATGAGGCAGAGTTGCCAGATCCAACCTGGTTCCTCACTGAAGTGTCACATTCCTCTATTTTGAGAGGGAATATCCATAAATCATATACAGATGTTCTAAAAAGAGAGAGAGAGAATAGGCTTTATGTCCAGGTAGAGTTTGAAAATCACTGCCTTCCAATTAATCCCATTTGGAAATTAACAAAACACATTGCATATTCTAAAGATCTGAGATGTCCTCTATTAAAGGGTTCTATTCATCTGTTTAATTCAGCCTTTCCCAAATTTTTTGACCATGGGACACCTGAGAATGCTGCCTAATAATTTTCATTTTTTTATCTTTCAAGGGTTCAGGAACATACAGCAGGTGATTTTCCTGTTACTGCTTTTCTCTAGGGAACTGCAAAGTGTTAGTCATTTACCTATCACGGTCCAAAATTGTGTTTCTGAACCCTTAAGCTTTAGAATCCTGCTGGCATTTTGGAAAGAGCCTCAGACACACTGATAGAATATGTTTTTTAAAAATAAGAGTTCTAATATATTGTTATAAGAATATTGAACTAGCTGTTTTTATGTTTAAAAATGCTCATTTTCTCTCAGTGGGAAAATGTACAGAGAAGGCCAAATTATAACCACCAATTTGCCTGGTAAACTGAGATTAAAGGAAAGAGAGTTGATTGTGTGTTCTGAATAGCTGTCAAACTTCACTTACCATAACCTTTGTTACTATTTGTCCCCATTGAAGTAGAGAAATACCCCAGTAACTGGACACAATTGCTCCTAAGAAGATTTTAAGAGATATTTTTCCTCTCTGTTTGCCTCTCTCCCTTGCAGTTTTTGACTCTTTATTATTTATATTTTTTCAGGGAAATAATAGATGTACATAATTTTTTAAGTACTTTAAAAAAGTACTTGTCCCATCTTTCATTCTCCACTATGTAGGTTTCATCTTTACAGAAAATGTCTCCTATATCTTTTGGATATTTATTTGGGTAGTGAAGTCTACATTATATTATTATTATTATTTTTTTTTTTTTTTTTTTTTTTTTTTTTTGGAGACAGAGTTTCACTCTGTCGCCTAAGCTGGAGTGCAGTGGTACGATCTCAGCTCACTGCAACCTCTGCCTCCTGGGTTCAAGGGATTCTTCTGCCTCAGCCCCTTGACTAGCTGGGACTACAAGTACGCCACCATGCCTGGCTAACTTTTGTATTTTTAGTAGAGATGGGTTTCACCATGCAGGGTGGTCTGGAACTCCTCACCTCAGGTGATCTGCCCACCTCAGCCTCCCAAAGTGCTGGGATTACAGGTATGAACCACTGCACCCACTTATTTCTTACTATGCTAATATTATATATTATTGTCTCTTTATTCTTGAAAGGGATTCTGTTTGTTTTCTTTCCCTTTGTATTTTATATCTTTCAGGATTCCATTGCAGGAAACAGAATAATTCTAGCTATTTCAGGCAGAAAGAGACTGCAAATTAGAAGTTTTAGAAATCACTGGAAGGGCTGAAAGAGCAGGATCTAGGCTGGGATTTCAGGCATAACTCCCTGAGCTGGATAAGATTAGTGGGCAGTCTTTTTACTGAAGCATAATTTACCTACAATGTAATTCAGTTTTTTAATGTAAAGAATTCAGTGAGTTTTGACAAATCTGTTTTGCTGTATAGCCACACATCATTACTTTCAACATATAAAACAATTCCATCACCCTCAGAAATTCTCCATGCCTCTTTTCCCCTCTCCTCCCCAGCCCCTGGGAACCACTGATCTGTTTCTTTACTTATAATTTTGCCTTTTCTAGAATATTATATAAATTGAATCATGCAGTATGTAGTCTTCGGTGTCTGGCGTCTTCACTTAGCATAATATTTTTGAAACTCACGTATGTCATGGTATGTGTTAGTAATTATTACTGGATAGTTTGTTGTATGGATATACAGCCATCCATTTTTCAATCTGTGATTGAATTCACAGATGCAGAATTTACAGATACAGAGGGCCGACTGTACCATAATTTGTTTACACATTCACCAGTTGATCGACACTGGAGTTGTTTACAGTTTGGAGGGATTATGAACATTCATATGAAGTTTTTCACGTGAACATATGACTTCATTTATCATGAAGTTTAAATGCGTACGAGGGGGATTGTTGAGTCTTATGGTGAGTGTGTGTGTAACTTTATAAAAACAGTCAAACTGTTTTCCGGAGCCTGGTATCATTTTGCACTCCCATCAGCAATGTAAGAGAGCTACAGTTGTTCCACATCTTCAGTACTCTACTGTCAGTCTTGTAGGTAAAGTCGTAACCTGGTTTTCTGGATCCCCAGTGGGATTTGCCTTCCAGATTTGCTGTTGCATAGCCAGCCCCAGTTCTGTTTCTCTGTGGCAAAACGGTGACATATGTATCTGCAAATTAGTGACCTCCAGGATGCAGCTCCAGCACCCAGCTGAACTTGCTAATGAATACTGGGGAAAAAAAAAAAAAAGTGTTGATCATAGTCTTAACTAGACCCTCACTGGATTTGAAATACTGTACATAATAATGTTTTATGGTTCTCTTTCAGGCTATTTGATCATTCCATGGAAGGATTTAAAAACTGGGAGTTCATGACCATTCATTGCTGGGGAGAACGAGCTGCTGGTGACTGGGTCCTTGAAGTGTATGATACTCCCTCTCAGCTAAGGAACTTTAAGACTCCAGGTAAGAACTCCTTTCTATACGTTGGTCTACTGTGTAGAAGAAAATGATGGAGTATGTTTTGGCCAAAGAGTGTGTCACACTCACCCATAGTAGCATCATCTTTTTTCATGTGATTTCATTTCATGTGTGCTTTGAGTTACCTGCTCATATTTCAGTTCTCAAGATTACCATTCAAGAGGTAACAATTTAAGGATAGGAAATAAGGAATGCATGTATTATAGAATAAAACATGACAGCCTTTGATTGATGTTTCAGAATACATGATCCACATTTCTAATCAGCTTTCCAGACTTTCTTTGTGGCAATGAGTTCAGTTGCATAATTTCACAAGAAGAGACAGGCTTCCATAGTTCTCTATTTCTCTTTAGTTTTCCCTAAATTTACTTTTCAGTGTAGGCAAGACATTGACCTCGGTCTATGCCAGCTAATCTGGATACCACCAAAGAAAATGATGATGGTATTCCGCCCTGCATGAGCCCAAGAGCCAAGGAAAATGAAACCCTTCTTGAGATGTAAAACAGAAATTAGGAGGTTAACAAAGATCTTTTCAGGTAGGCTCAGAGTCTGTTTCTGCACACAGCCTCTTCCCCACTTCAAGCTAATGTGTAAAGCTTGTTTCTAATATAAAACAAGGGTAAGTACAAGGCAACATGAGTGAGAGACTGTATTGCCCATTACAGAGCCCTACAGAGTGCTTGGCTCAGCAGTGAGTGATCTGTTTGATGATTAACTAGCTTCCCATCCATCCATGAGCACATCTTCAGCCATTAGATAAAGTCCTCCTTCTCAGTGCTCTATCCAGTCCTCTTTGGAAGAACCAGGCTTCGGGGAAGTTTAGGACTGACATCAGTTCTAGCTCTCTCCAGATTACCGAATGAAGTAACCTATACATTCTGTAATTATAGGAGTGTATACCATTCAGATACAGATAGCTGCACAGGACAAAGGAGGCACACAGCAGAACATAGGGATAAAGGACACATTTGCCAGACTGTTGCCTGCCACTCTGAGAAAGTTACTCATTCTGAGAGGTCCATTGTTGACCGTTCATTTTGGTTCTCTCTTTCCCCTCATTCTGTTACGAGGTTCATTTTTGTTGCCACACTGGACCCATAATCAGGGAGGTCAAAGCCATAATGGTGGCCAGGTCACAATGAATCAGAATAAATGTTTTGTTAATGAGCATCTGTGCCTAGCTCACCTCCAGGATTCAGCCTGAATATAGTGGTTACCAAGCTTTTATCAAGAAAGCAAGTATTTGCCAATAAGACAGGATTGATAGAGAAAACAATTCAGATTACAGAACAGAGTTTCTGGACCCTTTCACCTCTTAGTCATCTACGTAGTTCCCAGGACCTTCCTCTCTCCTTTCTTCCTCTTTGCAGTGTATGCTTATTGCCCCTTCCTTGAGGATGCACAGATTGATGGCACCTAGGTGAAACGGCAGCCTGGTGACTGGGCTGTGACCTGTTAGCATGCATCACTGCCAGACTCTTATAGGGCAAGAGACTCTGGAGAAATAAACACTGTCAAAAGGAGGCAGTTGTGTACTAAGGGAGGTGCAGAAATAAAGAGAACATTACTGAGCATTTTAAACAGTTATAAAACTTACTAAAAGTGACTCTGTTCATGATTACCACCAGACACCAGCAATTGTACTCTCCATGATAAGACCAGGCTCCTCCTAAGGGCTACTGGTTAACCATGCATGGCATCTTAGGATTGGAGACCATGAACACAAATCCCTCTGTCCTCAAGAAGTTGAGTCTATACAGAGCTTACTATGATTATGTGTGTTTAAAACTCTACAGTAACTCAGACCATCTATAGTTATCTATTTCATAACACTGGCATCTCTTTATACTATTTAAATGTTCACATTTAACCCTGGTCACCTCCAGTCATTTTAGAGGTGTTGAGATGTTCTTCTTATGCCAGAAGAGAGATATCCTAATGCTATTACTGGCCTAGAGACTTTAATAGAAACACATGGCCTTTGTGTATCTTTCCTTCAACCAACCTTCCATTTCAGGATTAGTTACACCTTTAGTAAGGAACTTTGAGTGTCTTGTGTATGGGTGTGTCTGTGCATGCATGAGCATGTGTCTATATCATTGTTTCTGTGGCATACAGTCCTATGATAGGTTTCTTCCTCTCTGATTAATAACGGGTTACATCAGTAAGCAAGTAGAAATTCAGTTGGATCTGTAGAATTTTCTGGCCCAATTAAATGGTAGAATCATCCTCAAATATAGAAGTTCCTGGCTCCAGACTGAATTTACATTTGTTTATTGTTTATTCCAATTTATTATTACAATACATATTAAGAGTGTTTGGGGTATTGTTTTGCTTTTTGGCACATAAATCTAAAGATGCAGTTGTATTTACGTGTTAGAAAGTAGGATAGATTTTTCTCCTGCTGTATTCACACAGCTATTTCATAACGTTTCAATAATAAATGCAAAATCATCTATAGAATTTAGCTAACAGAAAAGGGGGTAGAGGAGAAAAAAATGATGGCCCAAATATGGCAGTCATTTGATGTAAATCATAGTAGAGGTTCTAAGGAAATAAAGTTACAGAACAAGTGAAATATAGAGATGAATTACACAGGAAGGATATCCCTAGTGGGCTTATGATGTCCTTCAGAAATGGCACAAAGGGAAATAATCAATTTTGAGACAGCAGTCTTCAAAGCACTTAGAGGGTAAACTTTTACATCCGAAATGATCTTAAATAAAATGAACTAAGTTTTAAGGTGACTGATGATTGGGATGACCTATAGTGTCCTTGTATTATATGCTTCATTTGTACACTTGAGAGGTGCCATAAGGAAAATGTGCTGTCCTTTGCGCTGCTACCTAAGGGCAATCAGATAGGTCATCAGTTTCCAGCAGTCATTCGCTTCTTGCCACTACCTAATGCATGCTACTTAGAATGCTGGGCCTGAATAACACCCTGATTGTGAAAAGCGTGGTCATTAACAAATGAGTCCAAAGAAAAGCTGGCAGAGGGCAAACCATACATAAACCAATTGTACTGGTCCAACGTGAAAGTCAGAAAAAAATACATGCATCACAGAATGTGTTCATTTTTAAAGGTCAGGCTCCTAAACTCCTAGAAATGAATAGGAGACAATATTGCATATGGTTTAAAAACACAGGATTTGGACTCGGGGAATGTTTTAATATCAGTCTGTCCTCTTACTGCCTTTGAGGAAGTTACCAACCTCCGTGCCTCTGTTTCCTCCTCTATATATTGGGAATGTTAGTACCTACCTTAGAGTTGTTTTGAACATTGAATGGAATAAAATTCATGAACCACTTAGGCCAGTGCTTAGCATATAGTGACCATTTAAAAACATCAAACATTGATTTGATTGATTTGATGGTGATGGTAGGTGCTAATAGATGAAGGAAACTGATAGGTGAAATCCATCACTCTCTGGGCTGGTCCCAGACCCTAGCCTCTGACCTTGCCTGGATTCTGTGCATTAAGCCAAAGTGAGAGGGGTTCTAAGGGAGCCTCCTGCCTTCCTACCAGCATATGCCTATGTTCTGCTTAAAGTTGATTGCTTTTGAGGTCAGTTTTACTAACTTTAATGAACTAGAGGCATGTTTCCTTTTTTTTTAACTTTTTGCATTGAACACTAATTTTATGAAGCTAAGCAATAAGTTAATTAGAACTAAAGTAAAACAAAATGCTCCTTGTGAGTGATCCAGATTCATTGAAGGTGAAACACTGGCCTCAGGTATCCAGGCATTCTTGACCAGAAAATGCTGTTTTGGGCCAGACATGGTGGCTCACGCCTATGATCCCAGCACTTTGAGAGGCTGAGGCAGGTGGATCACCTGAGGTCAGGAGTTCGAGACCAGCCTGACCAACATGGTGAAACCTTGTCTCTACTAAAAAATACAAAAATTAGCCAAGTGTGGTGGTGGGCGCCTATAATCCCAGCTACTTGGGAGGCTGAGGCAGGAGAATTGCTTGAACCTGGGAGCAGAGGTTGCAGTGAGCCAAGATTCCACCATTGCACTCCAGCCTGGGAAACAGAACAAGATTTAAAAAAAAAATGTTGTTTTACACATTGTCCGGTAGAACATTCTGCAGTGGTGGAAATGCCCTCCAGTAGGGTGGCCACTAGTCACACAAATCTACTGAGCACTGGAAATATGGTCAGTATATGGAGAAGCTGAATCTCAAAATTTTTCTTAATTTTAGTTCACTTAACATTAAATAATCAAATGTGTAATAGCCATCATATTGGACAGCACAGGTCTATAGACTAGTGTAATTAGTGATGTATTCTTATTATTGAATGACTGATATCAGGAATTAGGGAGAACAAAGAGTTGTTCTGTCTCCTTATTAGCAAGTCAGATAATGCCAAAAAAATTTTAAAGCTCAAATATGACTTTTATACCCAGAGAAGCAAAGCCTTCTTATTAAATCCTGGGATTCTCTTAAATATTGGTAATTTGAAATTCAGCCCTTGATCTGGCAATCTGCAGTGTGTTTGTTTCTCAGTCTTCCTATAAATGCTGATTAAATCAAGGCCTCTCCTGTATAGCAGGTGCTCATTCAATATGTGGTATGTGAACTGTTAAATAGTTAATTTTGCAAATGGTGAGAAATAGGCATTTCAAGCTCTGTGTTTGACGTGGTGATTCATATCTCTCTGCCTCCCTCAGTTTTGTTGCATTTTCTTGAGTGAGAAGGACTTAAAGATACTACGAAGCTAGAGTAAAAATTTGGTCATGCTGTGATTTTATTGTTATTTCTCCAGGTAAATTGAAAGAATGGTCTTTGGTCCTCTATGGCACCTCCGTGCAGCCATATTCACCAACCAATGAATTTCCTAAAGTGGAACGCTTCCGCTATAGCCGAGTTGAAGACCCTACAGATGACTACGGCACAGAGGATTATGCAGGTAAGCTAGCTTCCAGCGGGACCCAGCCTAAAGAGAGAAAGCTCATGCGTCATTCCACCATATGCAAGAATGAAATGGAATGGAATGGGAGAATAGAACAAAATAGAACAGAATAATACTACCCACATGACATATTTTCTTCCATCTTATTTTTATCCCCTTAAATACTTGTATATATCAGTGCACTCATATTCAAATATCCATATTACAAAGCTAATAGTCCATACTGTGATTGTACTGTAATATAGTTAATCCATAATCTGGGACACATAGCTCACTTACAGAGTATTACACTATTTTAAACATGGTTTGGATAAACATCATTATTTATCAATCTTTGTCTGTATCTTCATTATTTCTTTAGAATAGAGTTCTGTTTCGAGACTTACTGCATCAAAGAGGATAATCAGTTTTAGGGCTTGGAAACATTTTGTCACTTGCTATCTAGACAAGTCTACACTGTGACCAGCTATGTGATTGTTTATTACACTCATTTCTGCCAACAGAAAAAAAAAAAAAAAAACTAAAGAAAAAAGGAAAGTAAAAAAGAAAGAGGTGAACATTTTAAAAATGTTTTAGCTTTGATTGCCTGTAAATCTAAACATTTTTTCTGCAGTTCTCTGAATTAAATACAACTGTCTTTTACCCATTTTTCTGTTCAAGATGCAGTAATCCTCTTATCTACTTGTGAACACTCTGCATGTTATTGTCTCTCACATTGTTTCATATTTGCTGAAAACATTCTCACTTATCACTGAGAATGTAAGTTTTGTTTTGCTTTGTGTTGTTTTGACAGAAAAAAAAACTTGCAGAGGCTGGGGTTTACGATCTCAGATGTAACACTGATTTTTTGCTGAAGTTTTATCCTTTAATGTCTGCTGCATATTTGTTTGGCAATTTCTTATTTTTTTACATTTGGCCATTAATTCATCTGGAACTCATTTTGGTTTATGACATATAGTGTCAGTTGAAGCTCTGTCTTTATTTTCCAAACAGACTAAAATCATTGACTAAGTAACTATCCCTTCTTTTTTTTAGCAGTTTAGGATGCTTCCTTTATAACAATATATTAAGTTCTTATCCCAACATTTTTTCTGGTTCTAGCTTTTCTGATTCATCAATCTAATAATTCTCTGACCAATACCACCCACACTGTTTTATTTTCATTTCATGATGTATTTTTATATTTGTAGAACATCTGCTTCCCATTTCCATAGCAATTATTGCCCTATTATTCTTCCAGATGAATTTTAGCATGATTTTTAAGTCTCCCTTTAAAAGTCTCATTGCAATTTAATTTGAATTTATATGCAATCTCTTGGGAAGAATTGTTTTTACAACATACAATCTTTCCATTTAAAACATAGATCATGTCCTATGTTACTGAAATATTTTAATTTTATGTAGTTTTCTTCTTGTTAGTGTTACACCTAAGTATTTTGGGTCTTGTTGCTCTTATAGTGGAAAATATTTCATGATTTCTAACTAGTATATGCTGGTGCGTAGGAAATCTGTTGGTTGTATTTATTTTATATATGGCCACTTTGCTTAACTCTCTCATTAACTTATAGGGTTTTCTCAGATGGTTTGGGTACTACAGCCTTATCATCTGCAAATTGGTTTTATAGTCCTTCTCATCGTTATTTCTGATTACTGTCTTGTTGCACTAGCTAACATTCCTAGGAGCATTCGGTCCTTCTGAGGTGTGACATGTAACACATAATGGACAAAGCTGCTCCTAATGAAGAACGAAGTATAGGCCAGGTACAGTGGCTCGTGGCTCATGCCTGTAATCCCAGCACTTTGGGAAGCTGAGGTGGGCAGATTGTCTGAGCTCAGGAGTTTGAGACCAGCCTAGGAAACATGGTGAAACCTCAACCAAAAAAAGATTTAGTTGGGCATGGTGGCATGCGCCTGTAATCCCAGCTACTGCAGAGGCTGAGTCACTTGAACCCAGGAGGCGGAAGTTGTAGTGAGCCAGGATAGCACCACTTCACTCCAGCCTGGACAGCAGAGCAAGACTCTGTCTCAAAAAAAAAAAACCTATTTACAAATACAAGTTTAATGTATCATTAGATGAGAATTATTTTTTTTTTTTCAGTTGAGATTTTCCTCTAAATACTAAAAATAAAAGTACTTCATTAACCACCTGAACAGAGTTGTTTTTTTGTTTTGTTTTGTTTTTTTGAGACGGAGTCTTGCTGTCACCCAGGCTGGAGTGCAGTGGCACCATGTCAGCTCACTGCAACCTCCACCTCCTGGGTTCAAGCAGTTCTCATGCCTCAGCTTCCCGAGCAGCTGAGATTACAGGTGTGCGCCACCACGTCCTGCTAATTTTTGTATTTTTAGTAGAGATGGGGTTTTACCACGTTGGCCAGGCTGATCTCAAACTCCTGACCTCAAGTGATCCACCCGCCTCAGCCTCCCAAAATGCTGGGATTACAGGCATAAGCCACGGTGCCCAGCCCGAACAGAGTGAATATTGTATGTAGTTACTTTTATTCTAAATAGATAGCATCCTAGAATCAAACACGCTTGAAATGGAGACCAATTGAGCTAATCAGAGCTATATTGTTTGAGTTTGTGATGTTTTGCTTTGAGCCTATAGCATTACTATTTATATTTTAACTAGCAAACCGTTTTGTCTTCTCTGATAGGAGAAAGTATATCCAAAAAACAGAGTGTAATAGTAAGCTGTTACTCTTTATTCATATTTTGGTAATGTTTCCCATTCAAATTTTGGGATGTTGAGATTCAGAAGTTATACATCTTGTAGTGTTTCTGATTAGATCTCGAAAACATCAACATTGGCACTATGAGAGAACCAAGACAATGATTTCATGATTATCCTGCAACCTACAATGCTCAACTGCATCTGGGACAGTTTACCATGATAAAAGAATCAGTGAAGTATCTGAACTTGCCATACAGAGCATTTTTGGCAAATATCAGCAATAAATGTTTGGGTTTTTTTTTTTTTAATTCTAGAAGTCATCTGGTGAAAATTTAGGGCCACCCATGACTCCTTTCCTTTGGAGCTGTGATTTTTTCACCTTCATTTAGAAGTCTGCCGGATTAGAGGCACAGATGGCATTACCATAACCAGATCCCCGTACCACTTCATTAGATCCCAGGGACTATGAGATCACAGCTGGCTGAACTTCAGTCCATAGGCAGCAGAGACACCACTCTTCTGGTGCACGATGGCAGATGGCTAAAGTGTCCCAAGTTGCAGTAGCTATGGAATTTACAGATCAATTTGAAGCTGTGGGGAAAATAGAAATAAGCAGGTTGTCAGATGACACTTGCAGTTAATCAGAAGTATATTCAAGGCTGCAGCATTTTGAAATGACTTATTTCCATTCAGATGGAGAAGTCACCCCTAGTACGTGATTTGCTACCTCTAAGCAGGAAGCTTTTACCTAGGTGTCAGGACCTACGTTGATCCCCTCTCCTCACCATGTGATACTGGGCAAGCCACTGGAATTCTGGGAAACTCAGTTTCCTCATCAGTAAAACTAGGGTATTTGACTGTCGATTTTTCTCTATTATTCCACCCCAGTTCTAACATTTTATGTTTCTGTGATTCATTAATTATGAAACATAATCCCATATTGACTCAAGGAAACTAAGGTATAACAGTAAGTCCTTTTGATTAAAATAAGTAGAGTTCAAAACATTTCTACTACCCTTGACTTACTATTTGTACATTTCACTCAATATATTTATTGCTAGTTAAAATAGGAATTTTCAGTGGGAAAGAGTTTGCAGATTATGAGACCAAATATTGCAGAATATGGAAAACAAAGAAGAGAAATAAAAACTTCTATAACTAGCCCATATCATTAGAAAGTTTTTCATCAATCACAAAATAGCTCCATCTTTCTGGCATTTTTTTTTTCTTACTGTGTATTCTCTCCAGTTCTGTACCAAAGAAAATGTAGTAAGAGAGATTGGGAACTTTCATCCCAGGTTTGGAATCCTTTAAGCTTGCTTGCATTTTTTAAATTTATATGTCATTTTCTTTTGTTTAATTGCCCATTGGCCTTTGTGTAGGATACAGTTTTAAATCTATTATCTGAAATAAAAGCTATTATTTCAGATAATAGATTTAAAACTGTATCCTACACAAAGGATGTGTCTGAGACTGGAAGCTGATAATCTTGCGCCAGGTGCCATAATGATGATTCTTTCCGGCCACGGTATTCCAGAGGTATTCAGTAGCTTTAATGACCTTAAATGAGATGGTCATTTGGTCCAGGCATTAAATAATTACTCTTTTTTCTTTTTTGCCAACAACCTCTCACTTTTCTACAAATCCAGTATTTTTATTATTACACACACTTAATTGCAGTTGGTTTTTTCCAGTTGCTACAGTTCATGTGAATTCTGAAATGTTTCTCTCCCACAAGGCAGCCATATGTGCTTTAAAGACCAGGCCATGACTAGGATTTACATTCTTTATACCTAGGCAATTGAGGTTGCCTAAGAATCAAACGTCAAAAAAAAAATCAAGAGTTCATCTCGGGACCTAAAGCCACATTGACCGTTCTTCCTCTGTCTTAAACTTGCTGCATGAGAAAAAAAATAAAAAAAAAAAGTCTTATTTTAGACCAAATTCGAGGTAAAGCTGACCTGCTCTAAAATTATCTTTCTAAATATTGTTCTAATATCTTTTGGAAAGGTCCCTGCGACCCTGAGTGCAGTGAGGTTGGCTGTGACGGGCCAGGACCAGACCACTGCAGTGACTGTTTGCACTACTACTACAAGCTGAAAAACAATACCAGGTAAGAGAGGGGCCAAGTCACATCCCCACAGCATGTCCCAGGCATCTTAGGAGTTCCTGCATGGCTAATAATCCCATTGGGTACATGCAGGCTGCTGGCATCTTCCACTATTCTCCCACCAGAACTAAGCATACAAAAGAGGCTGCTGTGCAGGCCGACTGCCTCCCTGTGTCATTCAGAATGGTGAAAACTATGTTGAGTTACAAAACACAAAATGTGCATGGACGTTGTGAAACTGCGAATGACTTCTCTCACATTTGGAGGAATGTGTGGGGAGCAGCTAAGCACGTGCCCCTCCAAACCTTTTTTTTTTTCTTTTCTTTTTATTGACAAGTAAAAAATGCCTATATTTATAATGCACAACATGATGTTTATATATGCACATTTTGGAACAACTAAATCAAGCTATTTAACATGTGCATTAGCTCACATACTTTTTTTTTGTGGCCAGAACACTTAGACACTACTCTGGTGACAATTTTGAAGTATACAATTGTTATTAACCCTATTGTCGTGATGACAATAGATCTCCCGAACGTGTTCCTCCCCTCTCACACAAGTTTTGTGTCCTTTCCACCCCGCTGATATTTGATGCCATGGCTTCATGAAGATGCCAGTGCACAGGCGAAACTGATGCTTTTCCACATTCCCCAGCACCTAGGCCATCAGTGTGGCAAAGGGGTTGGTCCTGCTTGATCTCACTCTTCTGCCCTGGATACTGAGGTAGACTCTGCTTCTGAGCCCCTGGTGTCTGCTTGAGCTGTGCAGATGTGTTTCCTTGGGCGGGGCCAAGGAATCCTAACTGCGCCAGCCAATCAGAGTTCCTCCTGCCCTTGCCTAGACTCCCACAGCCCCGCCCCCCCCTCCTCCTGTAGGAAGAAACTCACTAAGTGGAGCTGCCCATGGTTCCTCCATATTCCAGTCCCACAGACAGACCCAGACATGTTAAGTCGGCTGGAATTTAAATTCTTTAAGAGAAAGGAGGACTTTGGCTATCTCACAGTTTCTGGTATCTCCTGCACTTAGCAAAATGCCTGACATTTATAGTTGGTACACAGTAAATATTTGCTGAATGGATAAAGCTCTGTCCTTCCGTTATGGGCAAATAAGGAAGTTTTTGAGTGTTCTCATACACAACATAAATTTATGTTAGTTTAGACAACAGCCTACAACCACTACTCAAACATACACATACAGGATCCATATGAAAACACACAAAAATAGAAGTCACACATTATTAAAGGGACCTTTTTGAATAAAGTGGTGGTTCCCACATACTTTTGCTCTGATTCACCACCATAACCTTCCTCTTTGTAATCATCATCCCTTTTTAAGAACTAGGTGCAAACCAGGAAATGGTTTGACAAGTCTTTGGTGGACCTGGTATTAGGTAACTGCATTGCTATTTCAGCACCCTGTGCCGGAAGAAATTTAACAAACAAAATGGATGTGGTGTTGGCATCCTGGTTTAAGAGTGAGTCAGAGGCTGAGCTCAGCCATTTGCTCAGCACCTCCAAGAGAATGCTGAGGACTGGTTTGCTCGTGATGCTGCCCTCTTTCTTATTGCTTTACAATGCAGGATCTGTGTCTCCAGCTGCCCCCCTGGCCACTACCATGCCGACAAGAAGCGCTGCAGGAAGTGTGCCCCCAACTGTGAGTCCTGCTTTGGGAGCCATGGTGACCAGTGCCTGTCCTGCAAATATGGATACTTTCTGAATGAAGAAATCAACAGCTGTGTTACTCACTGCCCTGATGGGTCATATCAGGACACCAGTAAGTTCACTTCAAATATTTGGGTTTTAGCGAAGAAATGTGGAGTTTTCATTTGAGTGACCTCGGAAGGGATAGTCCTCTTTGTGAAATCTGGACTTGTGCTTCATAACAAACAGGATCTAGCTCATTTATGTTAAGAGAACCCTTTAGAAGCTTTATGTTAAAATGCCTGTAACTCTGTCAGAGTATTCTGAACACTACCCCCAGATTCAGTGATTTGCTGGGAATATTTACAAGGCTCAGGATATAGTCGTGCTCACAAACTCAGATAAGAGATATTACAGCAAAAAAATCATCAAAGGGAAAAGCCATATGGAACAAAGTTCAGCCACACAGGACGTGCTCAGTTCCCCTTGCAATAATTTGTGACAACATGCATGAAATATTGTCTACCAGGGAACCTCATTAGAGACTCAGGGCCCAGGGTTGTCACTGGGAGCTGGTCAGACCTGACTCTTCAAAGGAATATAGGTGTTCACCATAAACCATATTGTTTATACAAACAGTTTAGACAAAGTGAGCCACTCTTTTCAGGGGAGTGGGAACCCTACCAAAATGCAGGTTCCCAGGTGTGCCAGCCATGGGCCAACCTTACAAGCAGATTTGTGAAGGACAACATTCAAGCCCCTTTTCTGCACACTCACCAAATAGAGACCAGGCCTGGATGATATCAAAATATACTTTTTAAAAAGTTCAAAAAATATGACTTTTTTTTAAGATGGGAATGAACATTTGTCAAAGACTTGCTTAACACACTCATGAGGGAACTTGCAAGGTGACAAACAGGGCTGGAAGGTGATCAGGTACGGCAGGCCACCAGGAAAGCACAGTTGGAAACAAAATGAAATAATCCAGTAATTTTCTACATGGCAATGCATGTAGAATTTGGGGGAGTATTTTTTTTTGTTCTAATGAATAGAAGTAACTTGCAACTTTACCTAACAACATCCGTGCGTTAACGCAGAGTTTGGGCCCTCATCAGCCATCGTTAGGAAACAGACGAAGGTATATTCCCCTAGAGAATTAAATAGTCTTAAGGTAAGCCTACTAGACAGTGCTCTAGTGTGCTTCTGAACAGGACTGCAGTTATCTTTTACTTTATTTCTGAGCTCTGGATAATTCTCTTAACAAGGAAATCATACCATGGTATATAATGGCACTGAAATTTCATGTTTCTGTACAACCCAAGGGGGAAGAAAAAGAAAACTCAAGTTTAAAGGAACAAGAGTTGTTTAACATAAATTCAGACAAGAAATCTAAGTGAATACTCTTGCTTCTTAAGTGAAATTCTCTCTGGTTTCAAAGTGCACTTCTCTGTGAGGCAGAGAAGGTCTCTCAGCTTACCCTTTAGGGCAGTGGGTGGGGACTCCGCTATGGTTCTTGCTTGCCCCAAAATTTAGAACATGAACTTTGCCTTGAGGGAGAAAGGAGACACCGGAAGAGAGCAGGGGGCATAAAGAATCCACAAAACTATGCAGTATTCCTGGTGGAGAAAAAAAGTCAAAATTCTATCAAGAAGGCTGAGCCTTGGAAAAGAAATTTTATTCTAGAATGTTATATGACGGAACCAAGGTAATTGAGAGTCAGTTGTTTTCAGAGCCTAGAAGGTGGATAATTAAGGTGTTCAAACTATGACTTCAGCTACCATGAAGTGTTGATACAAGTGGTTTGCGTATCTCTATGTAATTGCCTTATGTTATAGTTTTCTCCTCTAATGAGTCGATTTATGTACATGGTCACATATGATCATGGCTAGTAATAATTACTGCCAACACATTTACAGTGCTTAATAGTTCATATTGTTCTCCTGAATATTTAATTTTATTTAACTTCTCAAGACAACTGGAAAGGTAGGTAATCTCCATTGAATGAGCAAGACAACAGAGACCCTGAACTTGCCCACTGGAGGTGCTAAAAGCAGAATGCAAATCTAGGTCATCTGAGTTAAGATTCTATGCATGTGCAGTATTCTCCATGAGACAGTGAGGGAGACCATGTGACGGCTATTGTTAAGATTGCAAGGGCTTCGTATTTCATGCTCAGAGGCTCAGACTTGATCCAGCAAGTTATTGCAGGGATCCACTAAGCTGTGTTTCTCTATGGAACCCTGAAGAACGTGAACATTTAAAAAGCAGATGGAAGCCCATGAAGAAAGTTTCATTCAGTTCTACACATTCACGTGGATATAATCCACCTGCATATCACAGCAGGTACCAAGACTTAAGCAAAATTTTGTCAAAGGTAGAAGGCCTTCCTTAATATGCCAAGTCACTATTTTCCTCCACAAAACAATGATAAATTTGCCAATTTTTTTTCAATATAGACCTGGTATTAACTAGGAAAGTTATATTCACAGTATATTTGTACAAATGTTACATTTCTATTCTCCAGGATATAGATATTATTTAAATTATAACATAGTTATTTTAGTGTCTTGCTATAAAGTGCAAGACACTAAATGTTTAAAATAAACAATGTTAAGAAATAAGCAGTCCTTACCTTGCAGTCATAAAGGTAGATTCCCTTCTCTAGTTCAGCTCAACTGAGTAGTCCTGAAAGCTATGAGCATGGGGGTATACATTCCCTATAAATTCCCATTCCTCCACCTCAGGCGTTGCCTTTCAGTCCTTATATAGTGATGCTGTCCCAGCTTCATGAGTGGGATTTGCATTGCTGGAAGTTAGGAAACCATGCTGGGGAAAGAGACTGGGAAGAAGAAGGAAAAAAAGGCCTATAAACTATTCAACTAAGAATTAGCTAGGGCATCATTCTCTTGTCTGCAAAATGGCAGAGAAGTCTCAGGTGTTTTCCAGTGTTCCAGTTCCTGTCTGTACTTGGTTTGCTTAGAAATGATAATAAATAGCGATTCTGGGGCTCTTCCTGCAATTTTCTACTCAAGGCCATGGGTACTATAGCATACATTAGCAAGCATTAGAACATCTCTGATGCTTTTATGGAATCTACTTGACCAGTTGAATGATTTATAACTTTCTCTCTTTTTTTAACAGAGAAAAATGTTTGCCGGAAGTGCAGTGAAAACTGCAAGACATGTACCGAATTCCATAACTGTACAGAATGTAGGGATGGGTTAAGGTAAGAGAGTGAAGGATTTTGCCAAGTAACACAGCCCAAAGAGCTTCTCAATGTAAATAAAGTGAAAAACTGTTAATAAATAGCATTCTGATGATCTACCCTTGGTTTGACTGTCATTCAAGCACTTGATTGCTGTTTGCATTATCTCTACTATTATATGTGAAAAATGGGATGCTGTGTTGGCTAAAGAAGGGTTATAAACCAAATAAATTCTCTTTAGAAAAGATGGCTCAGATATAAGTCAATAAAAATGGCCATTTGAGAGGCAGTCTTTGTGCTTTTTAACCTGCACTAGTGCCAGTCAAGGATTACTGTGCAGGTAATACCAATGAATTATATTTAATCCCCCTGATTCATTCCTTGGATGGTTGGAAATTATTCTCTTATTATTTCTCTCTAAATACCCAATCATTCTCTTAAGTATCTCAGGCTTGGTTCCATTATGCTATGGTATGCACGTAGATTTAACACCAGGAGATGTTTTCCTTTGAGTGGATGACTTGCTCATTCCTAAAGTTCAGTAGTCAACTGTCTAAGAGAACAATGTACAACTCAGATTAACTAGGTAGCCTCTTGATCTCAGTAGGGAAAGTCATACCATTCTACATGAAGTGAGGAGTTGGACTGTGGCTATATATAGAATTAGAACTCTGCTGCTGCACTGGATTTCTTTTAAGTATTGATCGTATCTTTATTTCCATAGATTTTAATTATCTATGGCTTTATTTCTTCCCCACCCCCATAAATGCATTCAGTATTCACTTGCTTGGCAATTTTCATCTCAGACTTCAGTACTGAGAAAGAATTACCCACCTAATTCTCCTTGGAGAAGGAGTAAAGCAGTATAATAAAAAGAAAGTAGGCAGGGAGTGGTGGCTCAAGCCTGTAATCCCAGCACTTTGGGAGGTCGATGCAGGGGAATCACAAGGTCAAGAGATCGAGACCATCCTGGTCAACATGGTGAAGCCCCATCTCTACTAAAAATACAAAAATTAGCTGGGCATGGTGGCGCACACCTGTAGTCCCAGCTACTCGGGAGGCTGAGGCTTGAACCCAGAAGGCGGAGGTTGCAGTGAGCCGAGATCGCGCCATTGCACTCCAGCCTGGGTAACAAGAGCGAAACTCCGTCTCAAAAAAAAAAAAAAAAAGAAAGAAAGAGAGAAAGAAAGTAGATGTGGCCTCACATCTTCCTCTGCTACTTATTAGCTATGTGATTCAACTAATCTGAGCCTTCATTTTCTCCTCCATAAAATGACGATAATCCCTGTTTTGCTGGATTATGATAAAGGTTAACTGTGATAGCATTTATAAAATACCTATTCTAGCACATAATTGGTTCATGAGAAATAAAAGATGATTTAAATTATTTCTTAGGGAACATTTTCTAGGGAATGTTAAACCAGTGCATGCCAACAGAAACATAAGAACCATACATATAATTTTAAATATGCCAGTAACCACGTTAAGAGAAGTAAAAAGATACAGGGGAAATGGAGTTTAATAAAATATTTAATTCCCCTAATAGATCTAAAATATTTCAACAATATAAAAAACTTATCAGATGTTTTTCATTCTTTTTCATTGTTGTACTGTCTTCAAAATATATGTATTTCACTCTTAAAACATCTAAATTCAGACAAAACTGTTTTTATGAGAAATATTTGATCTTTAGTTAGGTTTTATAGTTGAAATAGAAAATTGTATATAGCCAAGTTGCTCCAAACTTACTCAAATTTTTGCCAATAGTGGAATCGAGTGCCAATTTTTCACATCTAGTCTTAGTTAAAATTAAATAAAATTTAAAATTCTGTTCCTTAGCCTTATTAGCCACTTTTCAAGGGATCAGTAGCCACGTGTGCCAGATTATGCTGGAGAGCACAGGTCTAACCTCGCCAGTTTATCATGGAGAGAACAGAGGTGTTCAGAATACCAGGTGCGTTAGCCTCGAAGTACCTGTATTTTGGTTGCGGCAGAAAGCTTCAGGGTTGGTGACTGCCGTCTGTTACACATTCTCCTTAGCTCGTTCCTTCTCCACACAGTGCAGCCTCTGTGTCCTGCTGAACAGATGCCAACCTCACAAGGAAGTGCTGTCCTGTATTAGAAAAAACAGGCAACTTTTTAACTTTGATAAGTGTTTTGGTTCTCCTTATACCTCTTAAATGGATCCATTTAAGGCAGTATCCTTTTTTCTAGTGCTACAGAAAGGTTTTATTTTGGCTTTTTAAATGACGGCATGCTCTCTCTGGCCAGTGAGGAGATCTGTGAATAAAATCCACTTTTAGTTAGATGCCCTTAGTCTCCTTGAGGCCCCTTGCATTTTTCTAAGGGATTCTAGGGTTGACCATTTTGCCTCAAGAGACTTGTAAGTTTTTAAATAGTGGCGAAGAACAAACAGGGAAAAAATATTTCAATGCACAAAATCCAGGAAGGAAATAAATTAAAATGCTAACGGAGACTATTCAGGATTCTCTTTTCTTCAACGTTGTTTTTGTACTTTCCAAATTTTTTTAAGAGCATAGAGAAAAATAGATTTTAATTTTTTTTTAATTAGCATTATCCACATACAAAGCAGTCATATCAACTGGAGCAATACAAAGAGGTTAAGACAGTAAGAAACCATTTGCCCCTGTTTAGATGCTTATCTTCTAGTTTCATTGATGTGGTAACACAGCATTACATTTTCTCACTACATTTCCAATCACACTATTTCGTAATATTTTTATGTTAAATATTGTAATTTTTTTTAAGACAGTTTTGCTCTGTCACCCAAGCTAGAGTGCAGTGGCTTGATCATAGTTCGTTCAAGTGATCCTCTGGCCTCAGCCTTCTGAGTAGCTGGGACTATAGGCAGGCACCATCATGCCTGGCTTTTTTTTTTTTTTTTTTTTTTTTTTTTTTTTTTAGCCTTTGTAGAGATGGGGCATGACTGTGTTCCCCAGGCTGGTCTCAAACTCCTGGCCTCAAGCGATCTGCCCACCGTGGCCTCCCAAAGTGCTGGGATTACAGGTATAAGCACCATGCCCAGACAAATATAGTAAATTTTTTGTATTCATTTTCAATTTTAAGAATCAGCCTATAGACTATGAAAAATATGATAGAAAGGAGAGAAAAATATGCATTTCTCATTTGACATTCTGACAACTCATTAGATACTCTCTCATATTGCAGGATAAAAAGAAATTTAAATGGATTATTTAATATAATGTAGATTACTCCCAGAAACACTAAATAATAATAGAAGAAAAGTCAAGATGACTGGGGAAATAGCAGTACAGTTAGATAGTTTTGATAAATTTTTCATTAGAGTGTTTAAAATGAATAAATCAAGAAACAGAAGCAAAAGTATTTTAAACCTTACTTTGATGAGGACCCACAGAAGACTAAAATCAGAAACCTTTAAAATCAGAACGGCTACTCCAGAGAGTTTGAGCTTTGGGTTGGACAGGATGGTTGTACACTTTTATTCAGTCATAATTCATTTTACAATGTGTTTGAATTGCATTTGTAATCATGAAATAACTCTTTATTATGTAGTAAGTCTGGATATTAAATTGTTGAGCATATTGTTGGTGTGATTGTTTTGTCAATCAAATACTTTTTAAAAGCTCTGGGTCTTAAGATGTGGCGCAAAGCAGGAGTGTGCCCGTTAGTCTAACAAATTAAGGAGAATGTCCCGAAAGCCTAGCAGCACATGTGTATGCTACAGACATCACTGAAGGCACAGAGAAGCATTATAAGCTTTGGGAGGGGGAAAGAAAGAGGGCACACGGGCTATTTCCCCTGCTTTGAAGCTTTGCCAGATCCACTGGCCTCTGAGGGAAACTGCATCTGTTACATACGGAGTTTGGGGAATCATTACGCTTTGGCATGATCACAACAGTCTGTTTTCAAGCTCCCTTTTTACTTCTTCCAGCCTGCAGGGATCCCGGTGTTCTGTCTCCTGTGAAGATGGACGATACTTCAATGGCCAGAACTGCCAGCCCTGCCACCGCTTCTGCGCCACGTGTGCTGGTACCTTCCCTAGTTGTCCCTTCCCCCGGTTCTGGTTTTGCTTTTCTTTCTGGTTGTAGCTGTCACTCATACGACCCACTTGATACTTTTAAAGTAACGCTGGAGAAGTGTTTTTCTCTTAGATAACTGTGCATGTATTCTCACTGAAAGTCAAGCAATCACCAGCATCCCGTCCTTGTGGAGATACTTGACACAGCCCTGTGATATCTCCTTTCAAAAGAGAGCCGATGTTTTTGACAAGAGGTTCCATTTTAACTGGGAAGGCCTTTTTTCCCAAGGAAATTAAGAAAAAGCATGAATAGTAAATTGTTAATCTTAAAATGATAGCGGATTGATGCCATTTCATCAAACTGTTTTCTCATTTCCTGTGTTTGTCTTGCTTTTAAGGAGCAGGAGCTGATGGGTGCATTAACTGCACAGAGGGCTACTTCATGGAGGATGGGAGATGCGTGCAGAGCTGCAGTATCAGCTATTACTTTGACCACTCTTCAGAGAATGGATACAAATCCTGCAAAAAGTAAGTGGATTTGCGCCCTAGGCCCTAAGGGGCCCTGCCCCTTTAGACCTAAATTCTTCATAAGAAAATAAGAAAACTTAGAATATGTCATAACACTAGGTTTAAACGTATACCTGTGGGCACTGATCTGAAGCTTTAACCCAGCTTATCTTTGATGTTTTTGCTCCTTCGCCTCGGGGGCACCTTAAAACCTTTAAACTAATATTTCAAATTCAAGTACATGTGCCATACCTGTTAAAATCACAGTGTCTACCTGTGTCATCAAACCTAGCAATTTTTGTGAGAAAAGATGTTTGTGTCATCTTCAGAGGGATAATTAAAGACATGAGGTTGCTAATAAACACACCTTCCTTGGTGCATGTGTGAATGGATTAAAATTTGTACATTTTTCTCATAGATGTGATACCAGTTGTTTGACGTGCAATGGCCCAGGATTTAAGAACTGTACAAGCTGCCCCAGTGGGTATCTCTTAGACTTAGGAATGTGTCAAATGGGAGCCATTTGCAAGGATGGTGAGTACAACTGCCCATATTGATCTTCTGAGCAACGTTATGATCTTTCTACTTTCAGGACTAATATTTTCCCACTTAAAAAAGAAACTCACAAGCATGCCTCAGATAGGACATGCCCAATATTTTGGTGGCATTCATTTCTCCTGAACTTATGCCCTTAATGGATTTGTTTGTTGTTCGTTTGAATTGCAGGAAGAAATAAATCAGCTGTAGTGGTGCTGGCCAATATGGCCCAAGTTAATTTTGTACATTAATAAACTTTATCTTTTAGAGCAGTTTTAGATTTATAGCAAAACTGAGCAGGAAGTTTAGAAATTTCTCATATACCCCTTTGCCCCCACATAGGCATAAGCCTCCCCCACTATCAATATCCAGCACCAGAAGGGTACATACGTTACATTGATGAACCTACAGGGACACATCATTATCATCCAGAGTCCACAGTTGACCTCAGGGCCCACTCTTGGTTGTACATTCTGTGGGTTTGGACAAATGTATAATATTATAGTGCCATGGACAGTAGTTTTACCGACCTAAAACTCCTCTATGAATTCCCTACTCATCTTTCCCTCCCCCTAACACCTGGAAACCGCTGATTTTTTTTTTTTAACTGTTTCCATAGATTTGCCTTTTCCAAAATTTATATAATTGGAATTATATAATATGTAGCCTTTTCTAGCTAAATGTTGATGTATTTCTTTCCAGTTTTTACCATATGTACTTTTCACCAGATTTTTTTTAAATACCATGCACATAGACTTTTGTATCTTGCTTTTTGCACTAAGTATTAGGCACAAACATTATCCTGTGTTTTTACAAAGTTTTAGAAAACCTTATTTTTAATAGCCGCATAAAATTCAATCATGTGAAGATGCTGTAGTTTTTAGCCAATCTCCTATTTGGATTGTTTATAAATTTTTATATATAAATAGTAATTAAATGGTATCTGAATCTTTCACTAAGCCTGTTAGACTAGATGAAGTAATAGCTTCATCTTGCAGAAGGGAAAACCCAAGGTGTCAAGCTAGGAAATGATAGACCCAATATTTCAGAATTTTGGTCTGTTCTTTGCACCCGTGATTCCCAACCAAGATGCTGGGATACAGCACCATCCCCAGATACTCTGATTGATTTGATCTGGGGCACAGCCAATGAGCATGGGTTTAACTTCCCAAGTGTTTCTCATCTGCAGCCAGGTTTGAGAACCACTGCACATCCAGTTCTCCCTAACAATTTAGCTAATACCAAATTTCCTCACGTCTCTAGCCTCAGTTTCCCCATCTGTAAAATGAATGAATTTAAATTATTCCAACTCCAACATTTTGTGAACTTTTTTGACTTTTGAAATAACTTATGCTGAATAGACCCTACAATTTATTCCTAAATTTATGCAGAAATTACACATCAGTGATGTAGAAATAAATTGTTTAAACTATTGTTGTTCAAAACATCTTTGGATTGTTGTAAAAATAGAAAAACAAAAATATGCAGTTGGAACAATCTGACTGACATGATCATTGCCCTCGATTTATTCTTTCCCTTCTTTTGAATGTTTCTCCTTCTGGAAATTTCATGAAAGGAAAAACAGTGCCACTGTCAGGACAGTGTGGACTTGGAAGTCAGAATGCTGCAGTTCATATCTGGTCTCCAGGCCTTCGGCAGCTTATGAATTTCTCTGGGCCTCATTTCCACCATCCCTAAAAAATGAAGAAGATAATACTACTGACCTCATCTGGTTATTCCACAACTCCCTATAAGGAATCTCAAAAAGGTGTCAAAAAGATCTGGGCACATGACAGCACTGACAGGACATCATTTGTGGTCTCATTTCTTTGGAGCATCATAGGTGACTTTGCATCTCCACGGCCTTTCCGTGGAGTATATGATTGGTCTCAGGCCCTGTGTTCCAAGGTTTCTTGCCAGGGCTGATTCCACTGTACCATAATGGGGTGAGAAAGGCTTGGGGTGGTAGCACCCCAGGAACCATGTATCATTTTTTAGTTACCAGCAAGTGCCTCCTTTACTTAAAAACATGATTCCCCTATTTCTGACTACAACCAGATATTTTTGTAAGTTAGTAACAGAAAATTGAGGCAGATGAAAGTGATTGGACTGGTCATGGTGGCTCATGCCTGTAATCCCAGCACTTTGGGAGGCCAAGGTGGGTAGATCACTTGAGGCCAGGAGTTCGAGACCAGCCTGAGCAACATGGTGAAACCCCATCTCTACTAAAAATACAAATATTAGCCAGGCATGGTGGTATGCACTTGTAATCCCAGCTTCTTGGGTAGCTGAAGCATGAGAATCACTTGAACCCTGGAGATGGAGGTTACAGTGAGCAGAGATCGTATCACTGTACTCCAGCCTGGGAAACAGAGCAAGACTCTGTCTCAAAAAAAAAAAAAAAAAAGATGTAGGAAATCCATTGTAACTTGAAATGTTCACCAATACCAATAGCACCTGGTAGCATTTGAAGAGTTGCAATGCTTTAACTACTTTCCCTAAATCATGGTGAACATGGGACATGTTATGTCAAATGGCACTTTGCTAAAAGTGAAGTGTTAGGATTGTGAGCAGAAGTGGGAAATGAAGAATCATTATCTGCAGTCAGTCCATTTTCAGGTCAGTTACAGAATGAGATCATTGATGGCTCACCAGGCTTTTGAAATCACATGGCAGCTGCATTTAAGGATGTTTTATTTATTCTCTTTCAACTTTCATATTTCTATGATTCTAAGACATGTATTTTTTTTACATTTTAACATCTCTGAAATTAGATGCATCTTATAATTTGTGGCAGTTTACAACTGCTTTTGACCAGAAAACTGATGTAACATTTATGTAACTTGTGGCAGTTTACAACTGCTTTTGACCAGAAAACTGATGTGATACCAGTGTTACTGCCCAGATATGAGACTTGGCTGCAGAGACATCTGTTCAGCTGAGTTAGGCACTGTCTACTTCTTCTTGTGTTGAATTTCATGGCAGTTCTAAAGAGCTTCAGAAATTAAACTATTGTTCAATATTCAAAGCAAAGATTCTTGCATAAGCATGGAAACAAAACAGAATGTTACATAAATATAACAAATAACTTTTAATAAGTATAAAATTAAAATCCTAACTGATAAGAGAATACTGTGTCAGAGTTTAATATTAATTATCTTTTCCTTTGTGTTACTTCAAATGACGGTGCATCTTAAATTTCGTGTCTTAGATTCAATGAAATATGGTATAAATCACTGTATACTCTCTGCTCTAGGTAATTCAAAGAAGAAAAATTTCATGCTTGTGTTATTAGTTGATTTCTAATTTATTCTTTTTCTAATCTTTGTGTTTTTTTTTTCCTTTTCACAAATGGATACCAATCACATTTACCATTGGACTGCAATGTCTCTCCTTGAAAAACAATGCTGTTGACTGAAATCACTTTGGGTGGACCACATTTCCTCCTGTTGACTACTCCTCAATGACCTCTTCCAATCCCCCAAATCTGCCCCTCTGGCCAATCACAATCTTCTTCCGTGTGTGTACATCATGCTGCTCTTGTCTTCAACTCCCCCTTTTCTCTTGCTGACTTCTGGGAAAGCAACGGAAGAGTCCTGGGCGGAAGGAGGCTTCTGTATGCTTGTGAAAAAGAACAATCTGTGCCAACGGAAGGTTCTTCAACAACTTTGCTGCAAAACATGTACATTTCAAGGCTGAGCAGCCATCTTAGATTTCTTTGTTCCTGTAGACTTATAGATTATTCCATATTATTAAAAAGAAAAAAAAAAAAAACAAGCCAAAAAAAAAAAAAAAAAAAAAAGCAAGCCACCTCTCTCTTTCTTGCTCTCTTTTTCTTTCTCTCTCTTTCAAGTTTGTGCAGGGAGATGGTGAACTGTTTTGTCAGAACTTAAATGGAAAAAAAAATAATAAACCTACAACAAGCCTACCTTTTATAACTGGGTGTTTAGTGCTAAACAGCCAGAACCACAGAGACAGTATTGTATGACCAAAGCATTTGATGCCAAAATTTGACGTTAAAGTAATGATTTGATTTCCTGCCCTGGTTTTGAAGGTCCATTTTTTCCCCTTTTGCATTGACTTGCTTGTTTCCCCTTTGAGACTCCTAAAAATACCTTTCTAAAACATCGCAAGAGCATACATAGACAAAAATGAAAAAGAAAGCTCTTGCATGCTTGAGTCCACCACTGGGGGAAATGACAGAAAACTGGACCTGAGGGCATTAGGAACATCCTACAGAGTTGTGTTCAGTGTCGTTTGTCTTGGTATTTCACAATGAAACATTGATACGCTCCACACATCATTTACTTCATGCATTGTATACTGGTTTTTTGCATTTTACTCACTTGATAAGTCTGCTCCACTGGTTTCATCAGATAGACTTGCTGCTACTGGCTTTTCCATTGTAGAGTGGGTTATTTTACACACAGTTTGCCAAATGGGATTGCTCTGTATAGTCAAATTGGTGATGGACAGATGGACAGAATGCAGAAGTACATAGAAGAGCTGAGACTGCTCCAGCTTCCCTGAAATTCAGATTGTCAACTTTGTAGACCCTGCACAATCTCTTGGTGCTATCTAGCCATTATCCCCATTTTTGTAAAGGCCATCAGAAATTCCATTTGTCATGGTGGGAAGCATTTTGGATATGATGCAGGAAATTTCTTCCTGGAGGCAAAAGTTTCTAAGAGGTCTTGTATTTTTAAGAAATGAAATTTATTTAAATAATATTTAAGCTCATGCCCATGTTGGCCAGGCAACGTTTTTCAATGGTGCTTATTAGAAGTTTTTTCATTTTGTCATTTTAAGAAAATAAAACTGGAAATTGAATATGGGTGGCATGACTGTACCCTTCTAGTGCTCTTATTTTCCCACTCCTCTGTCCCTCTATAACTATGCCGTACTATTACATACCTGTCCACCGAATGGTTGAGATCATCTGCTTTTTGTTTAAGAAATATTTTCACTGGTTTTTTATGACTCTCTAAACACTTCAT